TATTATATTATAGATAAATGTAAAGGTAAGTAAACGAACGAGAATGCAATTTATTAAAGTTCCTACCACAAAATGCGGTGGACCCATTTTTGTTTGTATTACTTAATGCTGTTGTAACCGCTAAGCACCGGATCCTCGCACACTTAAGAAGAATAAAAAGTAATAACAAGTTCAGATACTTTTAAGTAGTACAAACGATTAGAGAATAACGACGACTCTTAAAATGTATAATTTAGACATTATCTTCTAACCGCACAGCCACGCCGTCAACCGGGGTAAAAAGAGAATACTTTTTCATCCTCATCTGCTGTATACGGGTTTTCTCTTAAAGTCATAGCGAAACAGATTGGACCAAAGCAGGTTCGAGATTGTCAAGTCTTAGGATAGACGAGTCAGTCCTTCCTAATTACAAAGCATGAAAAAAATCAAATTTCATTGCAATATCTCAAGAATTGCAGTTTTATGCTCATTTTTAGGCCTTTTAATACTTTAAAAGGGTCCCCTGGGGAATTGGGTTTGCCGAAGCCTATACTTTCCCCGGCACTTTCAAAACGAATTTTCCCTTCAGTGTTCAGTCATTTAATAATAATTTGACTGTACATTATTTGATAATGAGTCAGCGGTACAGATTTCCCCGATGGGAATCAAACCGAGCACTTCTTACATATTATTGAGGTTAATGTGTCTTTCAGAGAATGCTAACAAAAACCATAATGTTTTATCACGTTTACTATTAAGTAGAATATACATAGCACAACTACCTAACACCAAAAAAGTTGAAAGTGATATTTAAAAAAACGACAATTTTATCGTAGACGCTTTTGTCCAGATTGACCTACACAAGCTCAATTTTTAATATAGCAAAATTATTTAATACTCTTTTTAAAAATTGACCAATGAAACTTGTACCGGTGACAAGGACCCCGATTCAGAACTCTTCGATAATTTAATCGAATTGTTTGATTGAATATCGTTCTCGAATCGAAGGGCGCTTCCCGAGCTATTTCAGTAAAACGTTCTATTCGTATTCGGATACGGGGGGCTACTCTCGATCTCCGTCCGACATCCGTCCGAAACAATTACTGTCAAATAAGTAATATTCGATAAAATTAAAAGACAAGTATCCAGTACGAAGCTTCATTCGCATCACGCGTCCTGTCATTTGGTCAAGTATTGCTTATTTGGCAGTAATTGTTTCGGACGGATGTCGGACGGAGATCGAGAGTAGTCCCCACGATGTCGTTATTCAACAGGGTTTACGGAGCTAGTCGGTAAAATAGATTATAAGACAAATGAAAATCCTTTATATACATTTTTATTACATAAAAAGCATAAAATATAGGAATGCATTAGTCTTGCATTAAAATGAATTAATAAAATTGAACAAAATCCAGACTTTATATAAAATAATAAGAGATTTCCATATTAATTCTTGCTTTGAAAACAATAGGACGTTCGGTAACGTTCATTCGATAACTGTGTTATGAATAACGTTTGTAGCTTTTGCCGGTCGAGAAGTTCGAGTAATTGTACGGGAGTGACGTCATTTCGGTGCGGTTTCGAATACGACAGTTTGACGTTCGATTCGGGTGTTGTGAATAAAAATGAAAAGAAATCGTACGATGTCAAATCGAGTCTATCGACAATTGAGTTATCGTAAGGTTCTGAATCGACCCCAAAGTCTAATCATGTTTTCAGTTGCTGAGCGTAACCATGATAATAAAGAACTCGGCAATTAATTAAATTTGTGTCTATACTCCATGCTAATAAACTGCTCCTAACTTCAATATCACGTGCGTATCAGCTGATAACTTTTTATGCTTATATGTTTAACGTAGTTCGTATTATTTTCAAGATTTGCATGTGATAAAAGTGTTTTCGACGCATGATCGCATGTGGCTTTACTAATTATACCAATATATGTCACACAGATCTCGAGTTGCAATATCATAGACATCTTGGATGATACCATCATTAGTGAACAAGACTGCGCATGGTTCATTAAGACTTACAGTACTGGCACGCTATGATGGCCGTTTTGACCGATTACAATAGTGATGTCAAATCTTAATTCATTTTCGAAAAAAATATAATCAAATGCGAGTCGCATTTATAAGTTTTTAGGGTAGCTGATTAAAAAGTTTTAATAAAACGAAAATAAAAATGTTCGTGCGGTCGGACTTTGGAACGCACTTCCCATTACTGTACATGACAGTAAATCTTTAGCTATCTTTAAAATGAGAGTCAAGAAGCACTATTTATCCTCTGTTCCATCCATTTTATAGATATCATAATATGAAATATGTATTTATATAGTCTGTAGTAATTTAATATTATTGCTTTTTTATTATTATTTTATATAATTTAATATTGTTTTGTTGTGCACGTAAACCCGTTATTACAATTATTTTGTCCTTTTGTTTGTGTTTTCCGTTTTACTAAATGTGATTTGTGTTTTCCTGTACAATAATTAATTAAATAAATAAATGTTTCCTTAATATATAGCCAATTCGAAACTGCATTGTTTTGCATTGAGCTTTGACGCGAGTTTGCCGGAGGTAGAAGTTGTGCTGGACAGCTATCCCATAAATCACGATCGTATTAGATTTGATTTTTAAAAATTTCGAAAAACAAAATGCCGAGTTGTGTCGTTAAATTATACATCCATAAATTTTACTGCACGTCACAATTACAACAATGCACATCCTAGCTCCATCAACGTAGTTATGAATTAATAAAAAACTTGAAACGGCCATCATAGAGGCACTTTAATAATGAGCTTGAGCCGCAGTACAAGTGCTAAGTAATGTTAAGAAGTGGAAATTTTGACAAATGTCGCGTAATCATTGAAAGAATAAGTGTGAAATAAATATTGTAAATGACCAATGTAACCCCTATTGTTTCTTACTCATTCTTATCAAGTACATCTCTGCTTTATAAATGAGTAGTGTAGTAGTTTCAATCAATGTGACGATTTCAAGTGTACGTTGCCAATGAATACAACATATATTTCAGTTTGAACCAACTGATGTGCACTCAAGTGATATTTATAAAAATAAAGTTGATTTTAGAGATATCGAGTCTTCATCTCATGATATTAATTGTTACTCAATTTTTTTGCTAAAGATTTTTATCATGCATACAATCATTAAACGAATTATATTCTACTATAATTATACATGCAGCCAGGGTATATTGAAATCTGATTATAAATCTAATTTTCGTCTTCACTGGCTGAGACAGATTTCCGTGAAACAGGAGTGTCTGGTCGCGAATGCCGGGACCCGGATCCGGATCGGGACCCGGAACCGCTGCGGGACCGGGATCTTGAACGGGACACGCTCTTTGATCGGGAACGGGACTTGGATCTCGACTTGCTCTTTGACCTGTTAAAAGAATACATTCAATTTAAAAGTTTTCTTTGGTTTGGTTATCGAAGTTGTTCACTTTTTAACCGACTTAATAAAAAGGAGGTTCTAAATTTGACTCTATTTTTTTGTATGCATGTTACGCGTTTACTCCGATTTGTAAACACTATTTCAATTAATCTTGGCAAATATATGTCATTCTGCGAACTTTTGAGGTCATTTTTGTATAAAAAAGTTACAATTATTAATATGTAAGGTTAGTATATTGAAGGTTAAATTAGGGATAGAAAACGAAATCACAACCACAGGAAATATATGTTATGCAATTGCGACATCAAGGACGGTTCCTCCATCAGGTAAACTGCTCATCTACCACTTTGCACATCATAAAAATAAGTAGTCAACTTACCTAGATCGGCTTTTCGATCGCGAAGCGCTCTTGGAACGCGATCGGCTTTTGGACTTTGACTTGGATCGGCTTTTAGATCTCGATCGACTCTGGGATCGCGATCCACTTTTTGACCTTGAAATTGAAAATTGAATAAGTACACAACTATTATCAAAACAGAAAGATAAAACTGACAGAAAGTAGTGAGAGTAGACAGAGTAGCTGCACAGCTCCTTGTGAAAAGGGTTCGTCTAGGGAAGTACTGCCACCTTACCTATTTCTGCCGCCAAGCAGTAATGTGAGCATCACTGTGTTCCGGTTTGGAAGGGTAAGGGTGCTGGTGCAATTACAGGAACATGGGACTTGTCAACTTATGTCTCGGATCTTTGTGATTCAACGCACTGAGTGGCACTGCAACTGTTATGGACAGGCGTGTCGTTTACCACCAGGTGCACGACTTGTTCGTCCCGTCACTTAGTAATATAAAAAAAGACCATGTTACTTTCAGAACACAGTAAATCCTAAGATGATTTTCTTTAAAAGCTATTGCGCTGTTTAGAACATACAAACTCAATTTAACGAGTTATTGAACGTGTGCCTTTTTAGTTAAGCAGCCGATATGACAGCGAAAGTCTAAAAAAATATAGTATAGTCTATTTCACAAAGGACGAGTACTATGACATTTCAAATTTTTACGTTGCATGCATTGACTTACAATTATATGGACGTCGGGTCCGCGCTAAAAAGTGTCCGAACTTATAGGGCGTTAAAATCGTATACAGAGCGTCATTCACGCTTTAGTCTTCGTTTGTTCGACTGACAGCGAAGCAAGCAAAATTAGACGGTACTGCGATGACATTACAATTTAAAAGCTTTTTCATATTCCTTTACATGTCACTACGTTTAAATAGGTTGACTTGGGACATTTTTTTCGTGGTTTTTGTATTAGACCCGTCGTCCATTTATTAGTAAGTCAATGGTTATTACTACAATACTATTACTATACATACAATACTATTTTTAACTAACGTCTCAACTAGGTAAATTTATTATAATAGACCAAAAACAAACAAAATTTGTTGCACTTGCAATTTTAAGTAAAAACTACAGTATATTAAATAGATACAAAATGAAATGAAAAATAAAAAAAATAAATTATCCCAAGTACTTGATGTGTACTACGGAATTTTTTTTATCTATAGAGATTTACGCCATAGAATCGATAAATCAAAACTGTATGAGGGTCACTTTTTTGTTCCGAGTCTTGCTTTGTGTTTTTGGAGTAATTGTTCAAGTTTCGTTTTGTTTCTGTTGATTTTATGCTTCGTTGTTGACTTTTTGTTTGGTTGTTGTTGATTTTTTTATTTGTTGGTAACTTAATAACATAATTATTATATAATAATAAAGCACACACTCAACATAGCCCCTAGCACTAGAGAAACCCTATGTCGCGGGTACCATGGACACACACATAGACCACCACAAATTACACCCAATCGCACGAGAGAAATAAATATAGGCCTTACAAATATTTCTCCCGGCCCGCGAGTCGAACCTGGGACCTCTGCCTGGCAGTCCGGCATGGTAAACGCATATTGAATCCCTTTTATTTTGTTTATGATTTTATTCTTAAATTATTGTCTCTTCATCGATTATCTTTTCTTTACAAATTATCTCGATATGATTTCTTTTCATTCAATTAAACATCCCCGCATCTCTAAAAGCTTAGAATGTCAAACGTCACCATACCCATGCTATGTGAAAATAAACAATAGTAATTATACAAATTATACATAGTAGATTTAATATAGTTTGAATACCTTGAACGGCTCTTCGATCGGGAACGGCTTTTCGATCGGGATCGGCTCTTTGACCGGGATCGGCTCTTCGAACGAGATCGGCTCTTCGATCTAGATCCACTCTTCGATCTTGAACGGGAGCGTGAACGGCTACGGCTTTTAGATTTCGAGCGGGACCTGAGAATACAATTTATTTAATTTATCTTAAGTTGAAAAACAACCAGTGTTCAAAGCTGTACCATGATGCAATTAAAGACGTTATTGCTGTTTATTAACATAAATATAAATTTTATATTTTATGTTTAATATTTCAGAAGGAGGGGTTATCCACTCTGTTATACTTGAAATTTAGGTAAATATGCTCTGCCTATTCCGACGTCTCGTCTAGTGTAACATATTTCACACATAGAAAATCAAAAGAGAGGGTAAAACAAAAATAAAATAGTTTTTACCTATCGCTATCAGAAGCAGACATGATCCGTTTCCTCCCTTTTTTAGCAGGGCTGCGGCTGCGACTACGACTGCCGCTGGCACTGCGGCTGCCGCTACGACTCCCGCTGCCGCTGCGGCTGCGGCGGGTGCGGGCACGGCCACGGGACGCGTCCGAATCGGACTCTGATGTGGAGATCGTTTCTTTGGAGACGATCTTGAGTCGTTGTTTCGCGCTGAGTTTCTCTTCAGCTGCCTTGGCTTTGGCCTTCTCGCGACGTCCGATACCTTTTTCTCTCTATAATATATTGTTGGCAAAAGGTTAATGGACACAACTCGCAGGTCATCATCAACATAGCGCTTCGACAGAGGGAATTCGACTCCTAAACTACTGAGCTCTGCCAGTTGTAGCCATTGAAGTCCGAGCTCGCTCTGTTTATCGCGACTTATTATTTATTAATCGTCTTCCGTTACATTAAAATACCCTGGGTAAATGGCTTTGGAAAGTTTCAATTTGTTGTTTTGTTTAATTACCCACAATTATAAAAATAAAAACTGTTTACTAATTTTCTTGTAAATATTGGCGATCGCACGCAGTAGTGACTATTTATTCCTTGCCTTTGTGACTTTATTTTTAATATTCGTGCATCTTATCCTGCTTATACAATTGAAGTTGGCTGGTTCTTACGTAACACACTTGACGGACGTAAGACCAATAGTACAGGGGATCCTAGTTTGGGAGCTAGGCACATCTCTGTACCTATTTTTCTGTATTTTGCAATAATGATTTTTTTAAGGCAAATACAACTTCATCTCTAAAATATATTATAGTTTATTGTAACATAAGATATTAATAATGAGCCACGTATATATTCCAACGTCACTATACATATACATTTTGGAAGATACAATCATCGTATTAATAGATTCTAGATTTCATATCGGTCCTCTTGCAAGGCTAACACGGCAGGGTGCTATTTGCGCGAGAGCGACATAAAACGCGAGATACTGCTATTCTCGCATAGAGATCTCGCGATTTACTTTGCTCTCGCGCTAGTCACGCCCTGTCGTGGGATTCTTTGATCCCTATTGACCAAGGCCGAGATTTAAAAAGCGAATTTTGATTTCGACTAAGCAAAGATGGCGAGCTAAGCAACTTTTTCGTATTTACAAAACGAACTTTGCCTGAGTTCAACAAGAAATTACGAAGTGAAATCAAAGTTTAATTGTATTTCCTTTGTCGAGGTCAAAGTTCTTTGAGTTTTGTTCTGTTTATATTTTGTTTTATGTTTCTTTTGTTTTCATAAAATTCGTTTTTTTGTTATCTTTTTCGAATATTGTTTTTGTTTCTTTATTTTTTTAACAAAATTCGAGGAGCATAATATTAGTAAATAAATATGGCTGTTTACAAAGATAACAAAAAATTACCGAAAAATAAAGTTGACGTAGTGTTCATTGGAGATATCGAGATATGCTGAGCTGTATGCCAACCATCACTAGTTGAAGAAGCACTTTAAGAAGAAGACCTGTACCCGGTAGCGGGACGTATATCGAGTATGAGTTTACCTTCTTCCTCCCGCGCTTGGTGGGCGGGCCGTCACTGTCGCTGCCGGAGCGGCGCTCGCGGCGCTTACGCGATTTGCCTTTGCGGCCCTCGCCGCCTTTTTTCTTCTGCCTCGGCTCACGGCTGAACAAAATCAAACAGAACACGTTATTGTTGGTATAATTAATTTTTATCGTGCGTCTTACAGTACAAAATTAGTATTTCGTATGTTACAATATTTTTTATTTGTATTTACTACTTAACACATCAAGTTACTGTATGGGTAATTTTCAGGTTAGTTTACCTAATTAGAGTGTCCATTTTTACTATTTAAGTATTCGAGAATATTACCGTGTAATTTTAAATAATATTTCAGATTACTACACTCGAATATTAAAATATAATGCTTCATGATATTTAAGAATATTTGAATTAAAAAAATCGCCACCGTAATTAGGTACAGAAATGTAACCTGAAAATTAAAAACAAAGTTGTAGAAGTGCAAATATGAATAACTAAAAGAAATATTAATTAGTAACTATTACAATAACATTTTCTTCACATCAACTTTGTAAAACCTCACTTAAACTTTATTGAATATATAATCTATATATATCTTCTTTTTTTAGATTTGGTGTGAAATTAAAAAAAAATTGACATGCTTAGCGGCCACAGATAGCGCAATCGAGGCGCCAATATACTATTCAAATTGAATATAGTCTTAAAATAAAAGTAACATCGACAGCACAAGAAACGAAAACCATCATTGTTCAGTGTTTCGACCCTAAGAGTAAGTTACACACGGCGATTTTCAACAGCAATGCAAACTCGCGTTCGTGAAACGCGCGACGCATCGCTACACTTGCGACTTGTAGGCGATTGCATCGTTGCAATCGCCTACAAGTATACAATAAATCCCAAGTGTAGCGATGTGATAGGCGTTTGTATTAAGGCGTTAGTAAAGGTAAACGATTAGCGACTGCATCGTTACTGCATCGCGTTTGCATCGCTGCTAGAAGTCGCCGTGTGTAACCGCTCTAATATAAAATGAATCAAATTATTACTCACCCCTCTTCTCTGGGTCTGTCGCTGCCGCTTCCCGAATCAGAAATATATTCATCCCGTCGCCTGCCCCTTCCACCTTTAGACTTCGATTCTGGCGGCATTTCGGTGAAAAGTAACGCATTCTTTGTTTTCTCTTTGTATTCTTGTCGCTTTTGCAGCATCTCCACGGTGCTTTTTTGATGTTGTTCCTCGCGACGTTTACGTTCATCTTCCTAATAATAAAGAATCTTACTGTAATACTAGCCGTAGTGTAGACGGACGTTGGGAATTTAGCACTTTTCACTAGACTGGCTTGGCTTTGTGGAATGGCTCGTCAATTGGCCCTGTGTCAATGGGCCATACTAAAACGCGGATAAATGACAAATGGTCAAATATCCGTTTGAAATAGCATAAGATAGAGCACAAAATTATCTTTTAAAAACAGTTAAAATTAATTAACGCGTCTGACTTATCGGAACTTACCCTAACGACGCCTAGCTGAAATATCATTCACAATATATAATTCACAATTTCGATTTTCTAAAACTGGGTTACGGTTTTTTACGATATCCCGAAAAATTATTTTGTCACTTAGCCGCGTACCATGCTGTCAGTTGAAGTTGAACTGCCTCAGTGGCCGAACGGTTACCATGCCACGCAGTGGTTCCAGGTTCGATTCCCGGGTCGGGAGAAATATTTGTATGGCCTACATTTATTTCTGTCGTGCGTTTGGGTGTAATTTGTGGTTGTGTATCTGTGTCCATAGCACCCGCGACACAGTGTTTCCCTAGTGCGGGCTATGTTGAGTGTGTTAAAGTCAAAGTCAAAGATCATTTATTCCATAGGTAAGATAAATTTACACTTGAAAACGTCACATTTAAGCTACTGCTCGTTCACTACGCTGACCTCCCTGAGAAGAACGAGCAAGAAACTAGGGATTGCTCTTTTCAAATAAACTTAAATGCTATGGAATACATTTTGAATCTTATTTGTGTAGAATCTAGACTCACTTTGTCTTTCCATTCATCTTTATCCAACACAAATAATAATATGACTTTTCAATCAAAATATTTTTAAACTTAGGAAATGATAATCTTAATGTATGCTAAGGAAACTTTTGTAAAAACGTATACAGTTCCCCATAAAAGAGTTGTTTACCTTATTTAAACGAAATCGTGGTACCATGAGTTTGGACTTAGCTCTAAGGCTAACATTATGGATATCTTCTTTCTTATTGAAATTATGTATATTTTTACGGGCATATAAAATATTTGAGTAAATGCATTGTGATGCTACAGTCATGACACCAGTCTCCTTAAACTTTTCTCTGAGAGAAACCCGAGAGCCTAGACGGTACACAGAATATCTGCCGCTTTACCCCACATGAGAATCCCGTAGGACATTATACTATGGAAGTAACTAAACTAGTCTAGCAGTACTAACATCGGTAAGCTCACGTATTCTGCGGACTGTGTATGCAGCGCAGCTTAATATGCTTATTACATCGAGTATACAACCAGAAATAGAGACGAAATGTCATTTAATTTGTTTGAAAAGTATTCTGCCATATCATAACTGTGACAACCGCGCTCCGATTGGCTAGTCCGAGTTCGAAACAATTGACGGGTGTCGTCAACTGTTTCACGCCAAATCGACCAGTTAACTTGAGCTTTGCTATAATGGACGAAAATTGCAAAATTACATGTTTCATTACCGATGAAATCTGATTCCGTTTGTTTTGTAATTAGATGTTTTGCTGTTTTTCCCACACCACCGAATAGAACAGCACGGCATTGTTAGAGATATTATCTTTATTACAATAAATACAGAATATTTTTTGGGAAACGTACACACAGGTCAGTAGTTGGCCTGTCTATATTTCAGTGCAAACGGGAGTTGATATTTATAAGAGCTGTATCGCTAACGTGTTACCAGGAATATATGGCCCTTATTTCGTCTCTATTTCTGGTTATATACTCGACGGCTTGTTATTTATAATAATAATAACGCATTTATAATAACGCACACACTCAACATAGCTCCGCACTAGGGAAACCCTGTGTCGCGGGTGCCATGGACACACACATAGACAACCACAAATTACACCCAAACTCACGAGAGAAATAATTGTAGGCCATACAACTATTTCTCCCGGCCCGGGCATCGAACCTGGGACCTCTACGTGGCAGTCCGGCGTGGTAACCGTTCGGCCACGGAGGCAGTTGAGTTTATTATGACGGACCTGCTGCCTGCGGAAGGCCTCGCGCTGTTCGCGCTGGCGGTCGCGCAGCGTGACCTCCTCGTCGTGCTGGCGGCGCGCGCGCGCCACGTGCCACTGCGCCTGCGACAGCAGGTCAGCGCACTGGCGCGCCTCGGCCAGCGCGTTGGCCGGCTCGTAGCGCGCGCGCTCCGCGCCCTCGCCGCCCTCGGCCGTGGCCAGCCGCTGGAAGTACCTGCGCGCGCAAATGTGGAATCCAGTGCCGCGCGACCGACACGTCACTCTCGTCCTCTTAGAATAATAGCCCATAGAAGCCCAGTTCGCACACGCTAAGTGAGGCAAATTGTAGGGACCCAAATAGGCTCACACGAGCGAGCGGGCAAGGCACAAGGAAGTAACGCGTTTCAACTTGTATTTAATGTGAAAATTCATTAAAACTGAAAATTAATTTCGTTGCAACAAGATACGAAAATGTTGCAAAGTAACGGACTTTTTCAAAATAATTGTTACGTAATTTTTTGAGAATAGGCAATATCGCGACGGTTGCAGAATTTATACAAATGTACACCGCCGCGAGAACATTGTGGGAATGTACGTTAGCTATTTTTACGGAATATAATTAGTATTTGCCTTCATTATTTTCGTGTGAAAATCATTATTCTTGTTCATGATACAGGAGTCATTTTAAAAAATTGTCTTGCCCGGACTTAAAAGTTTCTAACTAAATTTATTTCAGGGAACTAAGACTAACTAAAAAAGTCATTGTCAGTTCTCCAAAGTCCTGTATAAATAACTTTCAGGTTCAGGTTCTTTATTGTTATCATGTACTTTTCATGTGTTTATCCTCAGATAATGTCAGGCTATTTATATATCCAAATTTTCATGAACTAAAGTCAAATTCGAAAATCGCACTTAAACTCGCTTTTAGATTTTTGTTCATATAATAAATGGGGTAGTATTTATTAACTTAATGATGAGTTAAGCAAGATACAATTTCCCCAATTTTTGAGGAAAATGTTATTCCATGGCATCATCATTTGTATATTTGTGTGCATGCCGACGAGCGTAAATACATGTTGCTTACGCTTACATAAATTTGATTTTTGCCTCACTCGTGACAGTTCGTTTGATATGAAAACTGTCATTCCATGCGTTATTATTCTAAGCCTGCGCTAATAGCCTACTAAATCTGCTTTACGTGGCGAACGGCTATCAAGTGTTTTCGAGCCGAGAGTTCACGACAAACTGTTGTTAGATACTACGGTAACCTCCAACCAAATTTACCCACTAAAACATCACTTCCACAGTTATAAAGCGTATTCATCATTATTAATCATTTCAGCCTAAAGATGTCAACTGCTGAACATCAGCCTCCCCCTAGAGAACACCACAACGACCTGTTTCACTATACGTCGTTAAATTGATGACAGTCCAATGATCTTTTTTTTTCTTGGAAACCTTCCAAGGTTCGATGAACGATCTAATACGAAGTCAGGATTATCATTTAAAAAAAACATAGAAAAACGTTTACAGACATACAATCCAGGAACAAAGGTCATCAAAAAGCTGTATACTCACTTATGCGACACTTGAAGTTCGTGAACTGCCCTCAAGACGACGTCCAGCGAAGATCTCTCATCCTTAAGTACATGGGCTGCCAATCTTCGTAGCGTCAGAGCCGTGTTGTATAGCAGCGCAGTGTCGTGTGGAGCGACCCTTCTCGCTCGAAGCAGCGTCGCTCGAGCGGCTTGCGGCCGTCCGGCCAGCCCGTGTGCTCGAGCCAACCAAGTCAGCCATTCTACATCGTGATGCATGCGGAATTTGCGAATGCAGTTTTCATACTGGAAAATCAATGATCAATTAACTGATAATAAACTTGCATTCGTTTTCTTAATCTACAAATTGAATTACTCAAATCGTTATTTCATGAGTAATATACGCTCTAAATTAACACATTTTTAACTATGCTATTTACCATATCATTTTTAACTATGTTAGTTACCATGCCGGACTGCCACGCAGAGGTCCCAGGTTCGATTCCCGGGCAGGGACAAATTTTTATGGCCTAGATTTATTTGTCGCGTGAGTTTGGGTGTAATTTGTGGTTGTCTGTGTGTGAGACCATGGCACCCGCGACATAGGGTGTGCGTTATTAATGTCATTATTATTATGCTGTAGAAAAAACTCAGAGGTGCATGCCCGGATTCGAATTCACGGCCTTCTGCTTGAGAGGCGGTAGGTCAAACCATTAGGTTAACACGTTCGTTACCGTAATAATTTTTATTCTTTTACCTGTAATGCGTCTTGGTGTTTAAAAAAATTCGTTCATGTCTTACCATCTGTATAGCGTTGATGTATTGTTTTTGTTCAACGTAAATGTGAGCTATGTTCATCCAAACATCGGGAAGGTCCGCGGTAGCTTCACGTACTTGTGCAAAAATGTCGCGAGCCTCGTTCACACAACCCTTAAACATTAAAGTAACATTAAACGAATGGCCACAGCTTGTACGGCGTTTATTATGGCTTATTTATATACGTTTATTTATTTCAGGTGCAAGTGTGTCAGCTTTTCGTTTTGTTTTTTCAATTTATTTAAAGACTTGAATAGTCTTTCACTCGAAACATTAGAGATAATAAACATAGAAAGTGATAATTTTTTCTTACAGTATTTTCCATGAATTTAAATACAGGACTGAAATAAACTGGATCCGATGGAAATATTGTACTCAGCAGGGGAACACCTAAACAAGCTTTTTTGAGCAAAATTTTGAGGAACGATCGTGTGAATCGGCCTTAATAATTGAGGCATCAATCGAGTCTTCGTTCTTTATTCTGGCCGTATTTTCTGGAATTCACCAGACAGGCAGTGTACAAGCATTATCCGAACTCAGTTCGTGTGTTTTCGGCTTCACCGACCGGCAGTGCACAAGAGACATGCGAACACGGCCCAAGTTTTCTCGGTTCGTACTTTTCTTGGACTTGGTCCGGATGCAGTGCACAAGCGCTCTAAAAGCGAAACATTAAAAACGCAAGTATGTAGGTCTGCACCCAAATATATACAATCTGTTGTCAATAATTATTTATAGAAAATTGCACCTTACATCGTCTACATAGCGTTCAAATTTATAAGTGTTAGTTTTGTATACAATATAAACTGTACGTAACGTTTGACGAACTCGTTGGCCCAACGACTTGCACTGTGATCGTTAGATTTGAAGGCCCCGGGTGCGATTCCTGGTAGGAATAATTTGAGAAATAACTTTTCTAAATTGGTTCTGGTCTGGGTGTTCTGGTTAGTATCTGTGTGTGTGGTATTTAAAAAAATTGTTTAAAAAGAGTCCAACTTCAAAATATATACTCCAGTATCAACCTCCCGAACATTTTGTACCTTATGAGCCAAGACGCATCCGATGCCGTTTGCGGCCCAAATATTTTTGGGGTCCACTTTTAATACTTGTTTATACATCATGAGAGCGCGATCCTGGTGCCTTTTTTCCCGGTCTTTTTCGCGACATGGCTGGTGCAGGGTTTGGAGCCACACGTTGCCTGAAAGAAAAATAATGAATTAGCCAATCAATTACAAGGACACGTTTGCGCGCGCAGCCACTCCACGAGGCATGATACACTCACTACGCATGCGCACCGCGTCGTGTGCCGGCGACAGATCTCCGACGTTCAGTTCACGCGTCCGCGACCCAGCGTTTATACGTGTTGTGTGTAGTTCCGCCCGCCGCACTCCGACCGCGCGGCTTTCGATGTTAGCATAACATAATATGTAGGCCTCATGAATAAATTAAGTGTATTATTGTATTGTCGGTGTTTTATTATGATTCGTAATGTATTTAATACAATGAATATTGGAGGTCCCCGTACGAAGTACCATACCTTTCCCGTACATCTACGTACGATTACTGTACACCAATTGGCAAATCCTTCCACCACGATGACAAGCATTATAGTGTATGCCATCGACACGATAAGAATGAAATATTGAACTGAAACTATGGAACATCCTCAACGTTAGCAATACAAAGTTAACGGCGTGTTATTAAAATAATAAAAGTACTCTCAACCGGGCAACACTTTTGACTGTAATCACTAGCTGCTGCTAGTGCATACACGTATATGCGTGTTCGCGTGCATGCATTTACGAAGGATTGAGGCAGTGAACTAGCGCACCTCCTTTAGCAAGTCCTCTATTACATTGTATGTCAACGTGCGTAGCAATTTATTGACCTTATGTTTAAGTTCCGAATTTGAGCAGAGCTTGACGCTATACAAGGAGTTAACTCTATTGTAGATATACGGATGCATGAATTTTGGAAATCTTCTAGCGAAGGTGAGTTTATAGCTGGTAGATGAAGTTTAAAAAGCCTATTTTCGAGTAACTTACAATAATTAGGAGAAGATATATATAATAACGTTTGGTTACCTAGTCAACACAACACGCTAGTCAGGCCGATGAATGAAAATACAACCCCGCTCCGCCCGGGGAGAGAATCCCGCGCGGCGCAACCGAATACATTTTCAGTCGCTGGCGCACGTTAGTTTAGAACAGTACAAAAAGTAAACTTGGATTCCACCTCTATGTTGTGGATATTCCAAATATTCGCACGAAGCGATACGCTTCCACATTTATAAGGCGAACGGCTATGGAGTGGAATTCCCTGAATGTTACAACTTAGACCTTTTCAAGGCGAGAGTGTATAGGCATTATTTAGGTGTGCATGCTCCATCATCGACCTCTTACTCACTTTCCATCAGGTGAGATGGAAGTCAAATGCGCACTTACATTTGTATAAAAAAAAACAGACTCTACTTCCGTCTGAGGTGTTCAAGTATCTACTCAAACCGCGAGTACTACGAAATGGTGAGGAGTTACTTTTTAAGTGGTGAAGTCTCCGGGGAGCCCAGAGCCTGTACCGAGTAGAAAGTGTTCCACACATTCGCAATCTGTGAGGCGAAAACGCAAGGACACTCAATCGTCAAACAATTTTAAATGTCATGCAACGGCTAGACTAAGCCCAATTTATAACACCTTCACCCTTAAAACCAGGTTACTTGTCCATCCTGACTTATACTCCCGTTAATAACCGATTCCATTTTAAAAGAAAAGCACAAGCTTGTCCATGTCCTATCCAGTTAGATCCGTCATATTGTTTTCAATATTAAAATTTCATAAATATAGGCCATACAAATATTACTCCCGGCCCGGGAATCGAACCCAAAACCTCTGCGTTACAGTCCTTACATCTGTTTTTATGAATAATTAATCAATTTGAAGTGTAATATTTGTTACCTATTAAATAAGATAATAAACTACCTACCGAGGGCAATCAAAGAGTAAGCATCGGTAGAAGTGGATGAGTTCTGCAATATTCTTTCGAATTTCTTCTGTCCAGGGCCCCACTCCTGTTGGGCCAAATGCAAGTTGCCCAACAAAGACCATGTGTCAGGGTGTTCTGTGTTAACTTTCAGAGCTTCTTTAAACCAGTCTGATGCTTCGTAAATCTGTCCTTTATCTCGCGCCATGCAGCCCAATCTATAAAAACGTAAAATTATTCAGTTAAGCCATTGACTTACAAATAAATGGACGACGGGTCTAATACAAAAACCACGAAAAAAATGTCCCAAGTCATCCTATTCGAAATTTAAATTGTAATGTCATCGCAGTATCGCGCTGTCAGTCGAACAAATGAAGACTAAAGCGGAGTTTGTCGCTCTGTATACGATTTTAGCGCCTTACAAGTGCGGACACTTTTTAGCGCGGACCCGACGTCCATATAATTGTAAGTCAATGATTAAGCAATACAATAAAACAGCAATAATATAAAAAAAACTGCAAAGTAAAATCCAATTTGACAAAATATTATAGTCCAAGAAGCAATTTTACAAAAAACTATTTGACAAAAAAAATAGTTATCATCATCAACTCATTTCACATCACTCACTGGCCTGAGGCCTAAAACACTCAGGCGAGGGTTTTAGGCCTCAGGCCAGGCCACGATGGCCCAATGTGGGTGGAGGACTTCACACGTTTTCCGGTGAGCCTTCTTCGACGTGCAGGTTTCATCACGATGTTTTCCTTCTCCGAAAAGCTCATGGTAAATTTGAAATTAAATTTCCCACGTGAATTACAAGAAGTGCGAGCCCGCATTTGAACCTAAGCATATGATTGAAAGGCGGTAGGTCAAACCCTTAGCGCCCAATTACACGAAGAGAGATTTCGCGCGGCGACCGCCTAGTTACCATGCCTTTAATATTCATTAATGGTGAATCTGAATTATATTTACGAGGCAACAATATTTAAATTCCTCTGAATAACACAACCGCGCGATCGCCGCGTAGACCAAATTCGAGCCAGACTTGCCCGCGTGTCAGAGACGCTTATTTAAGTTAAAACGTAAAAGCTAAATGAATAGAGCGTATTTTGCCATGACAGATGGACGCGGTCGCCGCGCGGCGTGGTCGCGCTCGCGATCTCGATGAAGTTCTTGTCGAATAAATGCGCCCTTAGGCTATCATTGCTTTTTTTTTAAGTTTCAATTTTTATTTAATTATTTTTATGTGAAATTACTCCACTAGTTTGTTATAATTATTAATACAAAGATCGAACATTCAGAAAAAAAATCCTTCGATCCGGCCGGATTCGAACCGACGTCTTCTAGCATACCGTGACAGACGCTATACCAACTAAGCAACGGAACGGACCTCACGAATTTTTCTATGTGCTTGCGTCGTATCTTTGCATTTGGTTTTTCAACGACTTTTTAGCCTCTTTCTTTTTAGCATCTTTGTATTAATAATTTAAAAAAGTTGTGCAAAAATTTATTTGACAAAACGAATGTAGAATAAAATCAGTTCGTATTAATAAGTAGAACAGGCCCTTATAATTTCATTTTATCCTTTTTATCGCCCGTTATGTTAAAAAGGTACGCATATAAATTGATTGACAAATAGGAACCTACCTTAAATAGCAATCAATATAGTTGGGATGCTCCTTGAGAATGTCCTTATAAAGTTTTTCTGCTTTGTTGTACGAGCAGAGTGCTTCATTGAGTCGCGCTAGATTGTACATCGTAGTGACTGCTATTGAATTGTAGTATTGAGCATCTAGTGTTTCCGCGTCAGCTTTCTCCCTGAAAACGCGATGCAATGTTATTGTGAGAAGTAGCGATGCGCGACGTTTCAATGTTACTAATTATTCGAAAGGTCAAGAGTTCGTCCAGCAAAGTACTGCCACCTAACCCATTTCTGCAGTACTGTGTTCCAATTTTGAAGGGTAAGTAAGTATGCTGGTGAAATTACAGACATGGGACTTGTGAACTTATTCTCAAGGTGATGGACGCAGTGGCAGTGCCTCTCAGATCTTTACGATTTCAAGCTCTGAGTGCCACTGCTACTGTTATGGACAGACGTGTAGCTTACCATCAGGCACACGACTGGTTCGTACCTTCACTTGGTATTATAAAAAAGAAAAATCGAATAATTTGAATCGAAGTACAATTATTCGCCCTTGCCATTCGATCGAGTGCACGAGTCGAATGATTATTATCTCGGAACTACTCGGAACTCCACGAGATCATTCACCATATACATATCAAAATATCCCTGTTCCCGTCACATTTACGGTATTTACCAAATGTGAGAGAGCGCTAGGCAGAAATGATCTATAGAATCTATGGATTAATAACACTAATTAGTAATGAATGATCATTCAGATCATTCGAATACGAAAATTAGTAGGTAACTAATTTGTCATTCGAATGACAGGATTAGTAATTACTAACGAGTTGAATATCGAAATCATTCGCAATCGCGCATCGCTAGTAAAAAGTCAACAACTAAGTAACCTAACCAGAATGGGACGTATACAAAACTTTGTTTACGTATACAAAAGAACATTCGTCTGTAATGTAACATTCAAGATTCGTTTGCGAGCATTACATTACAAACTATCTCCCTCGCTGGCGAACATTCGCCTATAATGTAACACCCAAGATTCGATTAGGCTGCGATTCCACCAGAGATGTGCGAGGTAGAAAGGCGTGCGAGTGCCTCTGAGAGCCCGCGAGCGCCCGAGAGAGACAGGCGTGCCCCGCAAGAGCTCACGAGTGCCCGTGAGAGCCAGGAGTGCCCGCGAGTGCCTTTGAGTGCTTTTGAATGCTTTTGAGTGCCTTTGAGTGCTTTCGAGTGCCTTTGATTGCTTTTAAATGCCTTTGAGTGCTAGCGCGTGCCTTTGAGTGATTTTGAGTGCCTTTGGGTGCCTTTCGAGTGCCCGCGATTGCCTTTGTGTGCCCGCGATTGCCTTTGAGTGCCAGCGAGTGCCTTTGATTTGACTCAAGCGAATGTTCGCGGTGAAGGAGCGCTCTTAGTTTTTAAAGATTTGTTCTAAACTTCATTAAAAAAAGACTGAAATCGTTATTTCACAGTCAATCCGGAGGCTGTTGTATTTCTAAGATTGCAAATATATTTTACGGAACGTAATTTGGGTCTAAATGGCACCTAATAAAGACTATTAGATCTCTTAAAACACGTAAAATTTTTTGGCCCACCCTAGTATACAGGTAGGTAGCAGTAACGGGCCATATGACTCCCGAGTCTCCCTGCGCTCAGGGCTGTCTATAAAGATATTTAATAAAGTAAACCGACAAGGTACGCAGCAAAAATGCTGCAAAGAACGATTCTTTTCGTTCAGTACCTACTACTAAGTTGGGTATAATGTGTTGGATTTCTAATAACCCGTTTATAATTTATTTTTGATATCAAGCGTAATTATAGGGTCTTATACAGGTGTTACGTTAATCTCACCAAAGGGGTCACTCCCGTTCGCCGTCCGACATTCGTCCGAAACAATACTGTCAAATGAATAATATTCGACCAAACAAAAAACAAAGTCAAGTATGAAGCTTCATCCGCATCATGCGTCTTTTAATTGTTCGAGTATTACTTACTTGACTTCGAACGGCTGTTCGGCTCAGACAAAATGGGAGTAGACCCCCTGAATGGAGATGCCTCTACTACTCAAAATGATTTTTTTTTTCTATGGAGAATCCTCTTTTCCATACATACTAAATGTCCATACAATCAAAATTTATAGAACAGAAGTTTTACTTCCTCGCAATTTCAATAGGGACTTCATAGTTAAAGTTGTTCGTAATATTATTATTATTTATTAATTTAAAATTCTGCATTTAAAAAAATCCTACCTTTCCAAGGCTTCTTCCAAATATGTTCTCGCTTCATTCAGATTGCCCAGTCTATAATGCAATGCTGCTACATTATTCAATATTTCTGCTGGTATGTCTGCGTTTACTTTTTCCTTGAGTATTTTCATTGCTGTGCTATAGGCGTTCAGAGAACCCTGTGGAAGGAAGACGGATTCGATCAATGACCATCGTTAATCCTCCATGGATGACCAGCGTTCTGATTGGCCACAAAGATAGACTCACTAGACTGACAGGAATTCCAAATTAGACCGACTTTCTTTTGGACAAAACACGACGACCGTCTTTCTTTTGACAAAGAACGACGAAGGCGACCCCGACTAAACTAAAATCTGACGCAAGCAGACGACTTTTCCAGACTGAATTTGTACAGACAGACCGTACATCATGGTTTGAGGTAAATAATTATTAATTTATAATAAACTCGCCAAGGCCGGTAGCTGTAAAGGCATCTAACTGGGTGATAAAACTTTCACAGATTTCTCATAGATGGCGCTACGACTAAAAAGTCGTTGAAAAACCAAATACAAAGACACGACAACAAGCACAAGGAAAAATTCGTGAGGTCCGCTGGTTCATTCCGTGGCTTAGTTTGGTTAGTTGGCGTCTGGCACGGTATGCTAGAAGACGTCGGTTCGAATCCGGCCGGATCGAAGGAATTTTTTCTGAGTGTTCGATCTTTGTATTAATAATTATAACAAACTAGTGGAGCAATTTCACAAAAAATAATTAAATATCAATTCAATAAAAATTTAAAATTATTAATTCGCAACACGTTACCTTACCAATTTTGGACGAGTAAGGGTGCTGGTGAGGTTACAGGCACATGGGACTTTTCAACTTGTGTCTCAGGGTGATGAGTGCAGTGGCAGTACACCTCAGGTCTTTGCGATTTAAAGCTCTGAGTTGCATTGCAACTGTTAAGGACAGGCGTGTCGCTTACCATCAGGAGCACGACTTGTTCGTTCCATCACTTAGTATCATAAAAAAAAACATTAACCTATACAATAAGCATTAATGTTAATAAATAGGAGGTCAAATTGAAAAATGTAGTACAGGGTGTAAACATTTTCATAGTTACTAAAATACTGACCTGAAGGTCGTTTTGTTCCAATATTTGTGCCAATTCAATCCAAGCCTCGACATCATCGGGAAACTGTTCAGTCACCTTCTTCAAGTGCTGCCTCGCTATATCGCGTTTCGATTGAGACGGTGAGTTCGCATAGAGTGAGCCCAAAATTTTCATAGTTTCGTAGTTCCCTGGCTGGGCTTTTAGAACTTTTTCGAAGCATTGTGCTGCCTGTAAGTAACAAGTTACAATTGTACTACGAGGATCTCCAAAAAAAGAAAATAATAAAGAGCCTAAGGTCACCTTTACATTAGGCGCTTATAGAGGAGCTGCAATGGCGCCACCATGGGGCTGTAATGGTGCCACTATGGCGCTGCAGTGGCGCCACCATGGCGCTGTAATAGTGCCACTATGTCGCTGTAGTGGCACCACTATAGCGCTACAGTCGTGCCACTTTTTTCATACTATTATATATATTTAGAAGTGCAGCAGCGGCGCCACAGTCGTGCCACTTTTGCACGGTAGATATTGTATGATGATTTGTAGTGGCGCATCTGCCGCGCTACAGACGTGCTAACGCAGCGCTTCTTATCATCATCATTTCAGCCAGAAGACGTCCACTGCTGAATATAGGCCTCCCCAAAAGAATTCCACAAAGACCTGTCCTGTGCTGCTTGTATTTCAGCGCTTCTACAGGTGTCTAACTTGAAGGCGTGCTAAATTAAACTTATAAGTTATATAGTATATATCACACGCTTTTCAGAAATGCAGCAAAATCTAATGAACAATAAAACACATATAACATATTTTTATTTTAAAAAACCGACCTCAAAAATTTGTGGAATGACATCTATTTGCCAAGTTTTATTGAAATTGGTTAACGGAAAGTGTGTAAAACCCAATAAACCGGATTCCTTATCTAATTTGTCACCTTTAGAGGTGGAATATTTTCTTCAAATTCGAATGGGACTGTTACAAAAGTAAGCCCTTTCCAGCAAAAATAAAATCATCGAAATAAAAAAATACAAACGAATTGAGAACCTCCTCCTTTTTTTGAAGTCGATTAAAACAAGTAAAAATGTAAATCAAATACTAAATGTGTTTATCGCTCTATGTAATAATCCTCGCAGCCATATGGCTATAATGTTGGATTGTAACTGCTAACCGAAACAATATGGTTTAGCCATTTTCTAGAAATCTCACGAACAAAAACAACACAATTATGTAATGGCTAAAAATAACACTTACATTCTCAGTATCACCTCTGTAGATATACATTTGCCCCAATCCATAATGAGGCAAAACGAAATTCGGTGGGGCAAATTGCGTGGCCTGATAGTAATATTGAAAAGCCTGATCACAGTCCCCTTGAGCATGAAAGGCGCGAGCCAGATGGTGGCAGCTTTCTGCACGCATTGCCTCGTTCTCAGTATTATGGAACGCATGGAGTGCTAGATGCTGCACCTTGCTGTAGTCCTGGTAGATGGAAATACAGAAGAAAAATACAGTTTGTTATTATTACTGGACTTAAACGAGTGTCTGTATACCTAACCGGGGCTACCGCTCTTCCAACTGAGCTACAGATCGAGTCAGCCAGTGGTTCGAGTCCAGCCCGATTCAAGAAGTTTCTATGTGCTTGTTCGTTCTTTTATCAATAATAATAACCAGTGAATTGTCGGAACTGATTGTATTTGAATACGCGTATTATTTATTGAAATTTTCGTACATTGGCGACAAATTATTATTTCCTTTTAAGTATTTACTACTAATTAGTGTTTCGAAAAATAATACTGTAATAGGGAATCGGACAATTTTTCAGAAAGTGTCTAGAATTAACTAAAATATATATGTACAGCCATGAAAAATAATATTTTATTAAAATAAAGCTTAAT